CCATGGCACTTAACTTTGGTAAAACTCCCTTTATAAAATCGCTTAACAGCGTCAATCAACCCCCCGTTAAAATTCGATTTTTCCAAGGCCTCCCAAAGTTTCACCAACGGCACGCTGTCATACGCCTTCTGGAGATCCACAAAAATTAAATGCAGTTCCTGAGCTACGGCCATTTTCTTCTCAATGACCTGGACAATAACAAAGAGGTGATCTATCGTAGACCTGCCAGCTCTAAAACCAGCCTGCTCCTCTGCTTCGTGATCCTGCCATTCGTCCTCGATCTTCGCTTTCAGTATCTTCCCGTACACTTTGCTTATTGTCCCGGTCACTGAGAGCCCCCGGTAGTTGTTACAGTCGTCCTTCCTTCCCTTCTTTTTGTAGATGGCCTTGATCCAAGACTCCTTCCACTCCCTTGGTACCTCGTCACCCCTGATGCATTGTTGCATCAGTTTTCTAAGGCACTCAAAGAGCTTAGCAGTCCCGTACTTGACCAACTCGACAGGAATCCCACCAGGACCCGGTGCTTTGTCATTAATTAGCTCTTTAACCGCTTTAATTATGTCACAAGTGTGGATCTCCAAGTTGTTCATTCTTCCGTTGTCCGTGCTGTTGTCTCGAAACTCTGGGCGCCTTTCCGTCAAAAGATCTTTAAAATGATCCTCCAGTTTTTTAAGTGATATCGGAGAAACGATGTCGCGCTTCATGTCTCTACGTAAACCTTTAATTTCCTTCTTTCTGATTCTCTTTGTTTTTGCCGAATGAAGATGCGGGTGTGATCCCTGCGAAACGTCCCGGGCTTCTTATTTTATTTCATGTGTTCTTTTTATTATTTGCGGCCTTGGTTTCGATTTGAGTTGTTTCCTTATAGTTTAAACAACACAGTGTTGGGAATGAACATGGCTTGATTGAGAAGCCTGCCGAAACCGTTGTAGTACGCGATTGGACTCACTTAGAGTATTGCGTTTTTTGTGACCGGGCAATTCAAATTTCCAACAATCAGTGTCAAATAAAAACGTTATTTCCTTACACAGGAGTTGATTTCAGTTATTGTCGATGCAAGAATCGTGTTTTTACGTGAAACTATGGTTATGAAACATGTATTAGAATGCCTAATTTCGTACCTCGTCTTGTGTCCATTGTGTACATTGTTTAATACACTGTATCTGTTCTATTAAAACGTTCTATGTTTCTATGTTCTATGTTTTGAAGCGCTACACCGGTCCGGATCCCATTGAAAATTGTCCCAACGTAGACCCAAATCATACTGGTGTCCTCGTTGGCTATGGCGAAAGTAAGTAAATCATTAAAGGCTAAAACACCATTGCGCAATTGAAACATATTTTTCTCTCGTTTGAAAGGTGCCACGCATAAGCTTGGCGTATTTTGCGATGCATCGATTTATCTGCCAATTACACCTACGGGAGAGGATCGATAAACAGGTTGTTCGCAACGAACACTTTATAATAGATTCTTACCGCAGCTTCAAACGGGGAAATATCAATAACACAGCACAACAAATTTCGGGTTTTGGTTTGTCCTTCGAACTAAACCAATTTTTTTCGATTCCTAGGTGCTAAAGAAGCCCGAAAATGGCCATATTAACTTCAGGAAAATTGGCTGGTCCTCAGGGCGCCGCAATTTTGAATTTTTCAAAATTGAGAAAACTCACGATTAGATTTTTGCAAATATCTCCTGAACGGTTCATCTCACGAAAAAAAACAAAAAAAAAAACAGCGGAAATAGCATACAATTTCCTACCGAAATCATCCTCCTTTGTTTCTTCTAACTTAATTTTTTGGTCGTGAAATTAACGTTTTCTTCGAAAATTAGCTTAAAAAAGGCGCATTTTTGGTGATTTTAGGAGAAGCTTTGCTTCAAACCTCCAGCCACGATTATCTGACAAAATAACTGTTATGCTCATTGAAAGAACGTAAAATTTACTTCTAGAAAACATACGAGTATATCAATAGTTCCTAAACTTGATTTAATCCTGTGAAACAGCAGTTTGTTAGCTCCGCCCTTAAAATGTGATTTTTTCGACCATTTTCCTTAGAATCACGAAATAAAGAGAAAACAAGCTGAAAGACCCAACACTTGGTGTTGGAAGAGCGCGCCGTAAGAATATATCTGTTTTATCATATTCAGGCTGATCCTTCTTCGAAAAATTGTGGCTTTTATATATTAATACCTCACGGATGGAATATATATTGCATACTCAACATTGACGTCAAATTCCTGTTGTACCTATGGATATAGTAGTGCTTATGAAGCAACTGGTAATTAATAATCTTTGATTCTTTTGTGAAGCTAACCAGTGGTTTAACTAATAGTGATTTCACAATAATGGGAATAGTAGTGTGGCCGGTTTCATTTATAGTTTTTAAAAAATATAAATTAATTAAAGAAAAATACAGCTGTTCTTGAAAATCTTTAGAAGTTGTGGCCCTGTAATGATTCATGCAAAAAGAAAGTGAGAAATTATCATTACTAAAACTCTTAGGCCGGAATTTTAAGACGTTACTCGAAACTTCCTCGACTCGAGATTTCCTTGAGTACGCTTTTCGAGTGTCCTCGAGAATTGACGGTATTTTAAGACGCGACTCCAAATTTCCTCGACTCGAAACGCGCTTCGAGTCGCCTCCAAACCTCAAGTGAATTTCGTTGAGTCAATCTCGAGATTTTTGTGAGGGAGGTACTGAGGTCCCTCAAGGGAGTTCTGAGGAAACTTGGTTGAAAGTGATTTGTTTTGTTATGAAAGTGAATTTGAATGAAGTTAATTTTTTTATGAATTTTAGTGCTAAAATTTAATTTTACCCACTTTCCCTTGTTTACTATAGATATGTATGCTATTTTTCCCTTCAAAGAAGAAAGTATACTGTTTTGCCTCTAGAACTTCTCCTTCTCAGCTGCAACTACCTTACGACTTCGGTGTTTTGAAACGGTAGCTGAAGGGCGATTTTTGGGGGTCACGGACATTGAATTTCAACATTTTATATTGTCATAAGAGGGTTAATTTTTCCGAGTAAAAAAATCCTTAAATCCACCCCCGTGCGAAGAGCATCCCCTCCTTTCCCTCAAAGCTTCATCAAAGAAAGTGAACCTCAGAAAGAGCTACTGAAAAGTACAGCGCCACGGGTACTACGCATCCCAAGTAGCACAGTGCAACGAAAATATTGAAATTAAACTGCAGTTTGATTTCAATACAATTGTAATTTTTTTACCATTAAATTGCAACATTTTTACATCATTCATTAGTCGATTTATGCTGATTTTAAACAATCAACAAAATGAGTTCCATGTGTCAGAAAGATAGGCAATATGCAATGCATTGAAAAATTGCAACAAGTTTCAATGAACGGGACCCCTTCAAATAGGAGCTAGGCAACATACACAACACTCAGTAGAATTGCAATATTGTTACAATGTAATTGCTACTTATGGCAAGCTGTGCACTTGGGATTTTGGTCATGCACTTTACGAAGCTACTTTCAAATTCAAAGTCCTCATCAAATAGTGATCCTAATACAATTCCAAGGGCATTAATGGGTTTCATTTGACGTGGAGTTGATGTAATTGATGTTCAATAAAATATTTTAATGATAGTTTTAAAAGTTATTCCCGTTTTTTGTCATCTAAGACATTACATCGTTTGTTTCGGTGTAAAAACATTTGGTTCCCTAAGGTATTGTTTTTAATCAAAAATAATAACTTGCAAAAGTCTATCTTGGTTTTTAACCTAATTTACTTTAATTTAAACATGGGTTCTCCACGAAATAAAGAAATAGCTTTCATCCTGAATTTATCTTCGTCCCCCGCCCCCCTCCTACTCCTCCAAAAAAAACCTGAAGAGCCTGACACTGAATTTGCAGTTTTTCAGGGAGAAAAATGTTCGAGCAACTCATTATTCCCCCATTCTTTGCTAACATTCCTGTAGGTAACTCCCTAGAAAATCAACATAAAAATTGACAGATTGGATTAAAAATGGCCTCATTTACTTCTTCAGTAAAAAGAGGCAGAATAATGATTTTGGGGCCTCAGATTTCTAACAACTGAGCGCCGAGTCTCAGAGAAACAAACAAACAATTTCCACTGGTTAGGCTTCCCGAGCAATGAATTCCTTGAAAAATAGAATTTATCAGGGCGATTTCTAGTGACGCCATGGGTGCCAGGTATTGCTAAAATAGTGAGAGCGTAATTAAAAACATACAAAAGGACACGAGAAAACACATGAACATGCCCACTCTAACTTGTTGCACCTTGGCCTCTCCCTCCTTTCCCCAAAAAATCATCATAAGAACTAGAGGGGAAATTAATCGCTGAGAAAAGATCAAGTTTGTCCCATCAAAAAAAATGAAGCAATATTTGAGTGAGGAATTCCAATGTTTCTGAGAAGAGAGAATCAAATCAGTTAATTTATGAGCAGCTTCACCACTTCACTACAAATGTGGACACTTGGTGACGAAGTAGTTTTAGCTAAGCATGTAGTCAAAACAAAATGGGCATTTCAGGTCAAAGTTAATAGCCGAACCTAAAAGAAAAATACTGTGTGCTGAAGGAATGAAAGGTATAGAACATGATGTCATGAATACTCACAGAAAAACAAACTCTCTGCACTATATGGTAGAAGATTTGAAGGATGAGAGGGTACGTGGATGAGTGAATTCAGAGGCTGATGAGTTGCGTTGAAATTGACAGCTGTGGACAATCAATCCATGGTCTCCGCAAATTGTTGAATATCAAATCAGCGGAGAACCATGATCTTTGAATGAGACAGCCACTAAGTAGATACACAAACTGATGAGGTAGGTTGCTCTCTTAAATGCTGGGCAATGGCCATCTTGGAAACTCTTGAGTCTGACACTTTGATGAGAATAGCATTCGAACTGCCCATGTGCTGCAGTGTGTCGGGATAAGTGAATATTATGACTCGGTAGAGATTCCTTTGGTTCAGGATTAACGTAGGTAAATACCTGAGGGCCAGGAGACCGCACACATTTTAATTTCAAAGAATTATGAGCACTTGACATACAAACCCAAAGAAAAGCATCATGATAGCAAAGTCCTCTAGATTAGGCAATCAGTTGCGCATCGCTGTTAGAGCTTGCTCATCGCATGTTGAGACGAATGTCATTATCTGATCAGCTTTAAGTCAGCGGCAATATAACAGGTTAATACATGCTTTCAGACAGCACCATTGGTGAGCAGTGACAAGAAAATACTAGACTTTTGTCTCAACATACACTCAGTGAGCTCTAAAACGCTTATTAGGTAGAATAAGATTGATAGTCATGAGAGATACGAATCGCTTAATGTGGCCTATGCTTGTGCTTTCAGAGGCCAAGTAGAAAACTTCCATTAAATCATGTTCAGAAACTGGAAAATGAAGAAAAACCTAATCTCTAAAGTCACAAATCTGCTTAATAGGTACAGTGTTTAATGTTCAATGTTGACTCGATAGAACTTGTGTTTGTGAAAACCAGCTGACGACTTGATGAATCACAATCTTAACCAAGGGGCTTTGAAAGAAGATCCTTTTGAGTGAGGGTATGGTTTGTAATTTTTGATAGGTTACCTGAGAGAAAGGGATATTCCTTTGCTATAAATCACATGAGGACAATATAAATGAAATAATAAAACACAGGGTTTCATAATTAGTACGTATTTGAGACGCTGACGCTTAGATACGGGCTACACTATCAACTTTTCTCCGGAGAATAAATCACGCATTTCCGAGAAATTTCACAGAGAATTCATGATGGAATACATGTATTATGAAAATAAGTACTGAGGAGAAGAGAAAGGTTCAATCACCGAGAAATTCACTTCCATTCAATCGCATGAATGTTAAGCATCTGTGGTGTGGGTTTAGCCGTGTTCTCAAAGACGATTAGGATCCATTGAACGCTTGAACTATGACGAAAAGGGCTATATCACATAAAGAAACACAAAAACCACTAAGAAATCGAATTATTAACTTTGAAACAATTAATTAAAAGGAGTACTGGTCTGGCACTGATAAACAAACAAACAAATACAATGACAATGAATCAAGGCGGATAAAGGAAGGTGGTCGCATTTCGATTTTGGCTGCCATCTTGAAGATCTGTGACGTCAGGCGGGTACGGGTACGCCGTGGCGCGCGGCGGCACGCGCAGAGACAAGAGACCCTCCACTGGCATCCTAGCGACAGGTGGAAGCTTTTACTTTCGGGGTTTCAACAATTCCTTATGGACAATTATTAGGGAGCAACAGTCATCACCCTAGTCATGGACCAAGAGAATAAATAAGGAC